GGCAAAAGCTTGGCCTGGGCCTATATGCGCGTAACAATTGCCAACAATAATATTAAGTCGTTGCAGTTAAATGAACGTGTACCCGTTTGCTGCTGATCTTGTTGCTGTTCATCGCTCGATGTTTGTTCATCAGGAGCATTCGAAATAGGCTCCGGCTCGATTTGTATGTCCGTTCCTACAAGGTAAAAATCAGTAAATACTATAAGACATCAAAGAACCGAATCTTTCCTAAAAACAGCCAAAAACAATAACTCGCGAACCTTCTCCCACCCTAGCCCCACTGAGAAGTTATCACTGTTATAGCCTTTCGCTCTTCTAAAACGTAGTAAGGTACTTCTGCTTTGCTTGTTATTTTGGAATCCATATTAAAACATTTATGTATGGCAAAAATCAAGGCCTGTTTGCGCGTAACAATTGCCAACAATAATAATAAGTTGTTGCAGTTAAATGAACGTGTACCTGTTTGCTGCTGATCTTGTTGCTGTCCCTTGCTGGATGTTTCCTCTTCTAAAGCATTCGAATGATTTTCCGGGTCGGTCAGTATGACAGTCACTACAAGGTAAAATCAATCAAAGTGAGTATAAGAAATCAAACAATCAAACCATTCCTAAAAAACCCAACAACTCGCAATCCTTTGATTTTGATTTGCCCCCCCCCCCCCACATCAAAAGCTGGATACGCCGCTGCCCCTTTGAGAACAAATCATTTTTATAAGCATTTCACTCTTCTAAAACGTAGTTGGATACTTCTGTTCTGCGCATTTTAAGTTATTTTTTAATGAAGAAATCTATATATATGTACATTTCTTTTCTTCCGCTCGCCAGTTTTCCACTTGAAATTAACACTTTTCAGTTCTAGTAAGCTTACCGCCGCGCCCATTATGTTTAATTCTTACTTCTTCTTCTCGTTGTTTTCCCCTTTGGCTTTTTTCCCAACCTACCATACGTCCCTTTTTTATCATTTATTATTTCTATATTAAAAGAAAACAACATTTAAATATATATATATATATATATATATATCCAATGAAATCGTCTTCTATCACAATTCACAGTGCTCGATACATCTCTGTAGAGCTATAACATGCAATAAATTCAGAATATTAGTTAAACAAACTTTGGCATATCTCTTTCTGAACAGACTGTTTCGTACCAAAGGCACTCATCAGCAGAATGACGAAAAATAGAATACAAGTAGCATCTTACCTTATTTCGAATCAAGCGCGCGCACGCGTTACGCGCGTTACGTCATTGAAGTTAGTACGCGTTTACGTCACTGAAGTAAGAACACATCTGTCTCGATGCCTGCACTTGGAGACGATTTCGCTTCTCTTATTCAGTGTACCTAGATCTGGCCTACATATGATTATGTACTTCTCTGCTATACACAAATTGCATCTCTTGTTTACGTTAGGCGAGCCATCAGATAACAGACCGTTCGGGTACCGGGTCCGGTATGCTAATTTCTTTCACCCCAATCGGTACGAAGCCAGAAGCCACCCGGTCACTGAAGCGTGACGCCCCAATCGGTCCAAACTGTTGACTCAGGGTTTCACAATAGGCAACATAAATTGAAGTCTGGCCATTGTTGGAGGATTATTCAGCCCACTGGGATTACCAGCGGCAACTTCTATGAAGCTCATCACAGTCATTGTTGCCTACTGGAGGATTAGCGCGTCGCAAATTGGTTCCTTTGTGATAAGCCAGAGCCATGGTGCAGAAGCCTGGTGGAGTTAATCCAGGCCGATCGGTTCCATGCAAGGTCCCAATCCCTTCAACATACTGGGCGGGCTCAACCCCGAACGGTCCGGGGAGGGATTCTAATTTGAGGTTATTGCAATAACACCAGGAAAAGGACTAGAAAAAGGGAGGTGACATGGTACAACCCGCCATACAACAAGAACGTACGTACCAACATTGGAAAGAAATTCCTTCAGATAATAGACAAATGCTTCCCCAAGGAACATAAGCTTCACAAAGTGCTCAACCGGAACACAGTAAAGTTATCGTACAGCTGCATGCCGAACATGAAGGCAACGATCCAGTCAATTAACAAACGGAAGGTAAAACAGGAGGACGACGTCGGTGGTAGAACATGCAGTTGTCCCCGCAATGCCGAATGCCCGCTGAACGGGGAGTGCCTCAGCAAGAACATAGTGTACCAGGCCACCGTCACGAGCGAAGGCAGGAAGGAGGCATACGTCGGGCTGACGTCCACAACCTTCAAGGCGAGACTGGCGAACCACAAGCAGTCATTCAGATCCGAGAGCAAGAGGGCGCAAACAGAGCTAAGTAAACATATATGGGACTTAAAGGACGAAGGGAAAGACTATGAAATCAAATGGGGCATAGTTCTGAAAGCACTGCCATACTCTAACGTAAACAAGAGATGCAATTTGTGTATAGCAGAGAAGTACATAATCATATGTAGGCCAGATCTAGGTACACTGAATAAGAGAAGCGAAATCGTCTCCAAGTGCAGGCATCGAGACAGATGTGTTCTTACTTCAGTGACGTAAACGCGTACTAACTTCAATGACGTAACGCGCGTAACGCGTGCGCGCGCTTGATTCGAAATAAGGTAAGATGCTACTTGTATTCTATTTTTCGTCATTCTGCTGATGAGTGCCTTTGGTACGAAACAGTCTGTTCAGAAAGAGATATGCCAAAGTTTGTTTAACTAATATTCTGAATTTATTGCATATATATATATATATATATATATATATATATATATATAAATATATTACAAGATATACAGAAGCTCAGATAAAAACCAGATCCTATTGATTAATCATATATATATATATATATATATATATATATTATTTCTATATTAAAAGAAAACAACATTTAAATATATATATATATATATATATATATATATATATATTATATATATATATATATATATATATATATATATATATATATATATATATATATATATATATATATATATATATATATATATATATATATATATATATATATATATATATATATATATATATATATATATATATATATATATATATATATATATATATATATATATATGATTAATCAATAGGATCTGGTTTTCCTGTGGTAGGATGGCTCTGTAGAGGTGCTAATCACATGTTCCATCTTGCCACTCACTGGCTTAATCAGTACGTACGTATTCTAGCATAAACTCTGTTTTCAATAATTTATTGAAATTGTAAATGCTCTGTATTTTTATCTGAGCTTCTGTATATCTTGTAATATTTTTTTTTGTATCAGCCAGTGGAGAAGTGTAATAAAATAGAAAATAAAATAAAATGTACGTGTATTTAATATATCGTTGCTGCTGATTTTGTTCTTCGTTTTCTCGCTTCGCTTGTTGACTTCTTTTTTCTTAGCGAAATGTTGTTTGGAATCCATTGTTTTGTTCCTATATCGGCTTGAGATTAAATGACGTTTACATTTGCAGTATTTTCTGCAAGTCATGCGGGATGACATCCCATTTTCCTGTCTTTTCTTCCATAAAAAAAAACATATTCGTGTTAAATATTGTCCGTTTAAATTTATACGGCTCTATCTGACAAAGGCCTTAAGTTTTTCGTTTATTTTTTCGTTTAGAACAGAATCTGCTCGAATGAGGGCGCTTCAACGATGCAAAGTAATTGACGTGAATTTACACGTCGCTACACGTCGAAACTTGCACTTTACAATCTGTAATAATTTTTATTTAGATTGAAGTGCACCTACCACACCACCATGTGTCCATGATCTGGCGTCGCTATAGCGCCCCCTTTTGCTAAAAAAAATGATCTTTTATACTCACCTTTCACAGCTATAGGTAAATATACATGTTTCCAACGTCTTTTCAGACGCACACAGATCCCGACAACAGAGATCCCGGCAACAATCAACACGGGGCAACAACACACTGCGATGATGATAAAGACGATTGGAAGTTCTTCAACAGCTGCAGGCTGAGGCTCTAGATATAATCGATACAATGAGTTGTTTTATTTCAATCCGATTTATTTCAATTCAATTCAGTAGACATTTTTAACTCTCCAGTAAATCAATACAAGGCATGATAATAAAGCATAATACAGCGATATTTAAGTAAAGAAAAAGGAAAAGCAAAAAGAAAGTACCACCAGTAAAAAAATAACACCTTGAAGGTAATTATTTAAATTAAAGTCAATAGATAGAGAAATTAAAGAGTAATTAGAGTAATGTAAGAGAGTACAAGGTCAGGCGCGGATTCAGAGGGGGGGGGGGGTTAAAAAAAAAACACCCAGCTCTGTCCAAAAAAAAAAAATTCATACAAATTCCAAAAAAATAATTGGACCCCCCCGCTATGACACCCCCCCCCCAAAAAAAAATACTGGTATAATGTCTGCCCGTTCAAAAAACGGTACACCATTTTGTAATCTAGTGTTAATAATCGTCGAATTTGAACAGCGCCCCCTATTGAAATATGGTACCAGCTCCCCCCCCCCTTCCCGTTTTTGATATTACGGAGGCCAAGTGTTCGGAGAAAAAAACCTGTGTAAATTTTCAGATTTTTTTGCTGATGAACCCCCCCCCTGCAAAAATTCCTGGATCCGCCCTTTGTTTACATATACAGCCAAGGCTGGTAGGTGAAACAGCCTGGACAAACTATACAACGTAACAACAAGAACAAAAAAACAGGCATAGTGAGACGTACTCACAAACAAAAAAACAAACGAAACCAACGTCACATCATAAACCAAGCTGATGCAAATTGAAAAGCAAAACAAAAACACAGCAATGTAACAACGAAAACGAGGGCCAAAACTAAATAAACGAATATTTAATACTTTAATACTCACCTTTGGTTAGTACATCCACATAGGATCTTATTAGCAATTCGTTCTCAGGGAAGACGTGACACCAGAACCTCACGCCAGCTGCTTGAAAGCACATGTTCAGAAGAAGTGCGCCCTCTTGAGATATGGAGAAACAGTCTATGTCTCCAAAAAATCTCGTTTGGGATCTACCTGGTAGGTTCAGCCTCCCGATCACAGTGGTCGTTTGATTGTCAGGATTGGCAAAAGACCAGAACACAGTTGCAGGACTGCCGATCTCAGCCGAATTCAATACAGCTTTGCAAGTGAATGTGTAATTTTTCCCAGCCTCGAAGTCGATTCTCGAGCTTGCAAACACCCTTCCTCCGTCCAGTGGGAATTTCTTATCTGAACAATATCGGTTTTGAACAAAGAAAAATGAACAGTCTTTGGTTTACCGAAATCAACTGTAACAAATGCCTGTCTAACGAACCATCTCGACAACAAAAACCCTTGCACCAACTATAGCGAAACAAAAAGTTAGGGGATTACGAACACCTTTTTTTTTATACACTGCATCTTGACACGATCTAATAAAAAATACAAAATAATGCACCTATCACTCTAACTGCAATATTATCTTCACTGATTCCTCCGCCTGTATCACATTGGTATCTTCCAGCATCTTTGCTATCAACTGATTTCACGATCAGGCCGAAATCGCTTGCGAGTTCGAACTCCGATTCAGCATCGACGTCGTTGCTAGACAGTAGAAGGTGTCGACCTGACGTATCGTTCTTGAACCATTGTACAGGCTCACAGGTTGAGACACCGGTGGTCCAGCTCGAGCATGGAAGTGTCTGCTCTCCACCCTCAAGAAGGTAGAACGATGCCGAAGATGCCTTGAGGGCGTGATTGGGTGGCTCTTGATCTACATTTAAAAGAAAGTAATCAGAAAAATAATGCACTCATTTCTGTCAGTGCAACCTATCTTCCTAAATATGGAAACAAGTGTGATAAAAACGTGCTCCGCCATCATTGGAAGTCAATAACATAGGTGAGCAACTGAAACTGGGAACTAGACTATTAGCTCTTGTTGTTTGACACTGACTGATGGTTAAATATGCATTTATTTATTTAAACGTGTGAACAACACAATTTTTCAAAAGCACCATTATTTTGGCAATTGCTTTTAGGCACTGAATCAATTTGCACTACCTGATATCTGGACATCGATGTCGCAATTTCTGAGAGTACCATCTGATAGGAACACGTGACACCAGAATCTCTGTGTGTCTTGTACATCATGGAGGGAGTTAACTAGAAGGGAAACGTCGCTGCCAATGCTGTAATCGGCACCGTGTGCAACCGTCAGGGTAGCGCCATCAGAGAAACGTGCACCAATGATCTGTGTATCTGCAGTGACGCCTTCTCCTGTTGACCAATACACTACGGAGATCGGCGCGTCTGGAGTCTGTGATGCGCACTCACACGGTAGCGTCTGTCTGCGTCCTCGATGGAAGCTAGCTTTGGAAGATGTCTGACTACTGCCTCCTGGAAAGGTATCGCCTGTATTTTTGAAGTTGAACATTGGATAATCTGGTTGTATCCTCGATGGTAACTGGATTTCCTTTTTTAGGCATTCACGGAATATGTTTCCTGTAGTAGTCGGGGGTCTTAGGGATATTTTTGTTCAGATTCTTCCAAAAGCACCAAATTCGGCACAGATGTCGACCATACCATAATATTTTGATTTTTGACGGCCGCCAAGACGCCATATTAGCAAAATCCAATAAGGCCGCTAACCGGGTCAGATGTCAATTCGTCACCGTTTTCACGAACAGCCACATATTATATATATTATGTTGATTTTGAAGTAAAGTGTTTTCGAGATAATCACAAAAGAAGTTTCTCATATATTAAAACTGCAAGAAATACTACTTTGCAACAACTTTGTGCAGCAAGAAAACCATCACACGATTCTACGTGAGCTGAAGTTTTACATAAACCCGGTAATAAGACTTAATAAAGCAGTTAATTAGTGGAAATTAATTAGTAAAGATATGTGGCTCTTTGTGAAAACGCAAATTCACGTTTCCGACATATTGGCCCTTTCTGTTCAACGTGTATTTCCATAGGCGCGCGTGAGTACGCGCGCGCGCCTGAAAATGTAACAAAGATATGTGGCTCTTCGTGAAAACGCAAATCTCATTTGACCTACTTTTACGTATTTCCGTGCAATGGGTTTTGTACGCGTTCAAAGGGCCAAAATGTATGTGGCTCTTCGTGAAAACGCAAAATGCAGTTATCGACATTTCTGCCCCTTGCAACATTAATGTAACTTAGAAATTAATGATGTTTTGCTTACAGAAACATGTCAAAATGGTTAAGTACATTGTTTTAATGCGAAATATCGAAAAAAATCAAAATCGAAAAAAATTGTAATTTTGGAGATATGTGGCTCTTCGTGAAAACGGTGACGAATTAAACTAAATGAGCTAGAATCATAAATAATACCACTTTTCAGGTATTTTCGGGGTCAAGCAATCTGAATCTGATGTTATTTTACCGATTTAATGCAAGACAGACGCCCAAGGGACCGCCATATCGGCAAAATCCAAAATGGCCGCCACATATTTCACAGATAAACAAACAACGAGCTAAATTCTTAAATGATACCACCTTTAATGGTTTTTGGGGGTCACAGAATCTGAATCTGATGTCATTTTAATGATTCGAGGCAAGACAGATGCCCTAGGGGCCGCCATATTGGGACAAACAATATGGCCGCCACCGTATGGCCGCCACGTTGAAATATCTGATTCTGATGTTACTTTAATGATTTGAGGTCAAGTTTACCACTCGAGATCATTTGCGTTAAACCTGGTATTTCTGGTGCGTCATTCCATATACAAAAACTCTTTCCTATTAGCTCTACATGTCGGAAAGTTTGACATCTCTACACATACCACAGAAAAAATCCTAAATTGGAGCGAGAAAATTGTCCTAAGTTATTGTCAGGATGTACAGGCGCGTGTGGTGTGTGCCCGCCATGCTTAGGATGGGTGGTGCTATCAACCAACGGTCGTTTTATTGTCTTCACCGACTAAGATGTTGATTACAGATAACCAAGGCTCAGGGCAACCTCTCACTTGGTGAGTTCTAGTGATATGCCCAAACCGTAAATATCCATTTCTCGCATGAATCCCTGCAGTGAGGCGGGCTCATCAAGCTTGACCTCTCCGATACATCAACTCCAAAGCTACCTGACTCTTACTTGATCCAGCCTCCCCCAAATTAAATTCACGTCTTTGCACCCAGACTTGACAAGCAAAGTTAGGCCATCCCTTGATGTGCAAGTTGACAAGGCCAAGAAAGGATGAGGCTTGGATGGCACATGTACCAGCTTACTGAAGCAACGTAGGCCTGCAGATGGTGACATATCATCGCCTGATTGGGATACTATTAACTCAGTGCTAGCAAACGAGTCAGCGAAGCCCCTTGCCGAAATGTTCAAGCACGTGATGGAACTGACGATGCAGGGCACTAAATTCCTCAATAGACCGATCCAGTAAGCTCCACCCACAGTGCGCACGTGTGCAAAATAACATGTGCTCCTCTCCAAAGCCACGTTGCATGTTCCTTCCGCGCGCATCATACGCGCGTGCAAGCATGTCGGACTTTCGTGCACGCACGTCGGACATAAATCACGGCTGTGATTGGTCAGAACATCATGGGGCGGTGCTTACTGGATCGGTCCATCCAGGCCAGACCGGCGTGTTGGGATCAGTCACTGTATGATATCATCAGGCTGCTCTCAAAAGTCAATACCACCGATTTGTTTTTAGGAGAAGACAAATTTTGCACCTATGATGGGCGTGCAGTGTGCTGCACATTGAAAACATTCATCAATTTGATAGGGAGGCACCTGCCTCACTCTGGGCATGGAGGATGGGAGGGCCACTGTCCTTTCTAAGGCTGAGGTCCTGACATTCGCTCACAGTCTGAACTAAATGAGCATCACATCAGCCACACGAGGTACGTCCATTAAGTCTCTCTCACGTCACTTTACCCGGTCAAGCAGACCGCTTACTCAGAGCTTTGTAAGAATGTAATGAGTGTTGTGTTTGTAACTTGCTTTAATCTTGTTTACATGTACCAGTTAAGCTCTCATGAGGGCGCTGTTCATACCCAGTGTAACCTTGCCGCTTCTGACATCCACGTTGGTTTTCGGATTACAATATGAAGTAACACGACAGTTTAAGCTCGTATCTAGTATCCGTTTATTTCACAAACCTCACATAATTTGGCGACGAGGATGAATCAGATAAACCTCCCTACACCCCCAGCTTTCCTTCAAACGCCTGGGGATCCTGCAATCTCGTTGACCAGTTGGAAAATTAGCTTCGAAACGTACATCACCGCGAGTGCTTTGGACAGCGACAGCGTGACATTGGCTCGGCGCAGAGCGATACGGATCCACCGTCTCGGCACCGAGGGCCAGCGTGTTTTCAGCCAGTTCGAAGACACAGACACCTACGATAAAGCTGTGAAAGCTTTGGAGAAATACTTCGGCCCAAAGAAGAGCGTCATGATGGAACGGTACAAATTTCGCCAACGGGGACAAGGCAACGGTGAGCCAATCAAGCAGTTTGTTGTAGATTTGACTGAACTTGCAGCCGTTTGTAACTTTGGGGCATTGCATGAAGACACTATCAGGGATCAGATCATCGAGAAAACTTCCATCCCTCGCGTTAGAGAACGCCTACTCATGGAGGATGACTCACTAACACTGGACAAAGCCACTAAACTGGCTATCCAAATCGAATCAGCACTTACTGATTCCAAAGCCATCAGATCCTCCGCCCGTACTCCACAGCAGACCACTACAGCTACGGCTCAAGTGCAAGGTGTTCGCCCAAAGCATCAACCACAGCGTCGATCCAAGGCTACAAAACCACCCACTACTGCTCGCGGACCAGACTTCCAATGCTTTAACTGTGGGGACAAATCACACTCAGCAAAGAGCTCCAAGTGCCCCGCACGCGGGAAAAAGTGCTCCGCATGTGGCAAAATGAACCGTTTTGCCAGCGTCTGCCACTCATCGCAACGCGATAACACTCATATTCGCCATGTGGACAACTCCGACAGTGACGAATCCAGTATGGTTTGCACAGTTAGCGACCCTTCCTACACTGGTTCCGGTTACTTCAAGGACTATGCACTCGTCATCGATGGCCAACCTACACGCCTCCTCGTTGATCTCGGGGCAAAGGATTCCATCCTGAGCGAGGCTACATACAAGCAGCATTTCGCACACCATCCGCTACGTCCAGCAACCTCCACCCTTCACGCATACTCCAACTCCAAAATCGAGGTATGTGGGGTCATTTCTGTTCCAGTTCCACTTCTCCTTTCGCGTCGCTAAAGACAGAAGTCTTATGGGTGTTGACCTGTTTGACAAGCTCGGTTCAAGGTGTTTGATACTACTGGCACTCCCATGTACATGGTGTACATAGACAAGCGGTACCCCACCATTTTCAACGGCTTCGGAGAAATCAAGCATTTCTGCCATTGCCCCCGCGTTGACCCAGCTGTCAAATCACTGGGTATCATCGAGCGCATCAACTCTTCTCCCTGGATCTCGAACTTGGTCATCGCATGGAGGCGCAATGGAGAAATTCGCCTCTACATTGACCTGAAAGAGGTGAATAAGGCTGTCATTCCAGACAAGTACCCGCTTCCCACCATCAATAAATTGTCCAACGAATTTCACGGCGCCACAGTCTTCTCCAAACTCAACATGCGTCGTAGTTACCTGCAAATATCACTCGCCGAGGACAGTAAACAGCTCATAGCATTCTGACACATGACGGGGTATTCCAATATCGCCGAATGCCCTATGGACTCTCCTAAGCACCAAGTGCATTCCAAAAGGTCGTCACCAGTATGCTAACAGGGATCGATGGAGCCACCAATCTACTCATTACAAACAGTTTGTACACGGCGAGTCGCAACATGAACAGCAGTATTAAACTTCATTAAGTCAGCTATTGATTACGTGAAGTGTGTGTGGAACGGTTTTTGTCGCAGCAATTGCGTTCATCCCTTGCATATTTGTGTATACGCCGTGTGTGTCAGTACAAGTCTACCATCGCCTGATCGCGCGGGCGGGCGCGCGCGCGTTGAGTTGTTACTTTGTAACAGCACAGTGGTGGAGCGTAGCAAAATGATGTTCGCCGTATTTTATGGCGGCCAAAGGACTGTTGAGTAGACAAATTTGTTTGGTCCTTGGTACGGGGTATTAGTTTTACCAACTGCATTGAATGACCGATCAAAATGAAGCTTACAAAATCCTCTTTACAGTGCCAAGTGTGCATTTATTACTCGAAGTAATGGCGCGTCATGAATCCGGGAACTTTCAGTGCAAGTACGCACACTGCGATAGCCCGCCGGTCACACTGTCAATTACGTGCAAATCTCCGTTGCTCATTCTGCTGTTAGTCAAAATGTGCGTGTTGTCACAAGTAGGGAAATGTACCAGGTACGGATGTTTAGTTGTTCATTTTGTAAAACTTTGCCTCCAGAATGTTTAAGTAATATATCTTCTAGTTTGAACTCGGTGTGCATTAATCTGAAAGTCTTGGAAACAGCCGTGAGGCCGTCTTTTTCTTTGCTTTGTGTATAATCGCTATGGAGTAGAGCGCGTCGTGTTCATGCCACTACAAGTACACGCGCGTGGTCGTCTATGGAAGATGCGACTGAACTGTTTGTAATGTCGACGACATTGTTGTCCATGGACGGACCATTGACGAACATGACTTGCGAATCCATGCTGTGCTTGCTCGACTTGCCAAGCACAACATCACACTGAATGTAGACAAGTGTGTATTCGCAGCCAAAGAGATCGACTTCCTCGGCTACCGAGTTTCAGCCGAAGGAGTCAAGCCTACCCTCGCAAATATGGACGCTATCCTGAAGCTACAGGCTCCCACCAACACCAAAGAACTTGCCTCGTTTTTCGGCTCCTGCAACTTCTACCTGAAGTTCGTACCATGCTACGCGGACATCGCAGAGTCATTGCGCAAGTTACTACGCAAGGACACGCCTTGGGAGTGGGGCGACCCCAAGCCCAAGCCTTCACTACGCTCAAGGAGAAAATCACTTCTCCATCAGTCCTCGCACACTTCGATCCCGCTGCCACGACATACGTCACCACCGACACATCCGGCACTGCCATTGGGGCCGTGCTGTCGCAACAAGTTAACGGCACAGAACGCCCAGTAGCCTTCGCTTCTTGCACGCTTTCCCCAGCCGAACGAAAGTACTCCACAGGAGAACGCGAGCCCTCGCTTGCATCTACGCATGTAAACATTGGCATGTCTACCTGTACGGCATAAAATTCACTCTGCGTACCGATCACCAAGCGCTTACTTCACTTCTTGCAACAACTGGATCCGGCCACAGACCACTACGAATCAGCCTTTGGTCTGACCGTCTTCACCAGTATAACTTCACTGTGCAGTACATTGCCGGCAACCGTAACCATGTTGCCGACATGCTCAGCCGCCTGACACCTGCTTCAGACTCTAACTCTGACCTCTACACCGATGATGACACTTTTGTCATGTCGCTCATCACCGGTTCCCTCAGCAACCTTGTGTCTTGTGAGGAACTCAAAGCCACATCTTAAGACGACGCGACACTACAGCAGGTATGCCACTTTCTACAGACAGCGTGGCCAAAACAACTCACGGTAGAAGTCAAGCCCTTCCACAGACTTGAACCCTCAGAGTGGAACGATTGCTGCCTAGCGCGTGGGAAAAGAGCAGTAATCCCCAGCTCCCTGCAGCAACGCATTCTGTCACTCGTACACGATGGACATCCAGGCATCGTCCGTATGAAGCAACGATGTCGCGATGCAGTATGGCGGCCTGGAATTGTCACTTGCATCGAACAGTTTGTTTCCACTGGCGAAGCATGCCACTTGAGCGAAAAGGCCATCAACATCCGACCAGCTCCGCTGCAACCCATCCCATGGCCACAGAAACCATGGCAACAACTTCAGCTGGACATCTTCGGCCCAGTTGAGGCAGCCCCAGCCAACCAGCGTTTCCTCGTTGTGGTGCATGACCTGCACTCCAAATGACCAGAATTTGCTACGACAAGTACAGTCACCTTTGCCACAGTGATCAACATTCTTCAGCGAATGTTCACAAAGTGGGTCCAACCAGAAGTCATGGAGCTCTGGTTGGGCTTCAGAAGGGGTGAAAAGTACAGTGACACTAGTCTATAGCTTCTACTGCGATCTTGGTCCGACAAACTCCTTGACACCACCCCTCTTCCAAAGGCTTAATTGGTGCGACACGACTTGCTTCGTCATGTCATGCAGAGCAATGGGTGTGGTGCAGCTGCAGGTGTCAAATGGGCCAAATATCACTTCTTCACTACTGGAAGCAGCTTGTCGGAGCATACCAGCTACCTGCTATGATGTTTGAACATATGAAGCAACCGTTACTGCAGGCCACCTCGGTCCATCAGGAAATTCCTGACTTCATGGAGTGGGGCTGGCACAAAGATGGTACCAATACATGGCAATCACTATGGACCACACTCTCAATGCGCCATTCTCTCGCACTGCGGCTGCTTCATGCAAGGGAAGGTAGAAATGCAACCGCACTGGGTCTCTTTCCAAGGTCCTCTACAAATAATGGAGAAATGTGCATAATTGGACGGTGGTGATGACCAGTGGAGTACTCATTTCTGGCAGGGCATCATAGAGGGCTGGCCAGAACCTATAGGTGGTAATATCATCAATCACTGGTTCATGTGCATATTGTAAATAAACGGCTCCATTCAAACGCACACAGCGGCATATAGCATTTTGTCACTACAGATACCATCTCCAAATAATTAAATAAAAATAGTTCAAACAGTCATCTTTATTGAAAAGTCTAATCCTTAATGAAATTTAGGGCAAAATGTGACCTACAAATTTTAATAAAGCAATAGATTCAGATTCTCCAACCCTGAAAACCCCTGTAAAATGGTATTATTAATGCTTCTAGCTCGTTTAATTTTTAACTGTGACTATTACCTCTACAAACTTGGCTGGCAGCCATATTGGATTTTTCCAATATGGCGGCCCCCTGGGGCATCCGTCTTGCATCAAATCATTAAAATAACCTCAGATTCAGATTCTTTGTCACCGGAAACCCTTCCAAAGTTATATTACTCATGGTTCTAGATAGTTTAGTTTTTTAACTGCAGTGTGTGGCGGCCATTTTGGATTTTGCCAATATGGCGATCCCTTGGGGCATCTGTCTTGCCTCAAATCGTTAAAATAACATCAGATTTAGATTGCTCGACCCCGAAAATACCTGAAAAGTGGTATTACTTATGATTCTAGCTCGTTTAGTTTGATTGACCTCTGACCCGGTTGGCGGCCATATTGGATTTTGCCTATATGGCGGCCCCGTTGGGTGCCCGACTTGGCGCCCGTCAAAAATCAAAATAGTATGGTATGGACGACATATGTGCCAAATTTGGTGCTTTTGGAAGAATCTGAACTAAACAGCCCCTATAACGCCCTAACATCCCTGACTATAGGGTTTTACGGATAATGAATGTGGAGTTGTGTATATCCCCCTTTGATTTTGTGTTAGTTCTTCTTTTTATCATCTGTTGTGTTTAGAGGAAACAACGCATGAAATCAAATTTGGTATGAGTATGAACAATGCAGGAAGTTGTCTAAGATCTTTAGATTTTTCAAACAAGGCTGACACTTTAAGTTACACAGTAAATCACAAGAATTATTCACTTCACAACTGTGATCAACAATAGTAAAGGAAAGTTTTAGGTCCACAGTTCATTTGAATCGAATTAACTCATTTGGATTAGATGGCATGTGATTGACTTGTACAGCACATGTATCTGAACAACAATGACGTTTTTACCTATGACTTGGACGTGTACTCTCTCAACCCTTATATCGGTAGCTTGAGGAATAACCTGGCAAAGGAAACTCCCCTCGTCCCTGTCCTTGACTCCCTGAATGACAAGTCCGTGATCGGACGACATCGAGTACCTCTCGTCGGCAGGCGAGTCTTTGTTGACGCCCTTGCGCAGGTCTCGGCTGATCAGACGCACCTTTGATGGGTCGTCTACGCTGGACCCCTTGTACCAGATAATACCATCTAAGCTTTCCGTGGGGCGGAACGTCGGACAAGGAATTCGGTGCCAAATACTCTTTTGGATGTAGCCAGAGGCGCCAAAGACATCTTTAATACTCGTCCCTGAAAGCCAAAAATCGTTACAAATTCATAACTCGTTTAATTTATGTCAACTTTACGTGAAAAATTTGAACATAAAGAGCCCATGAAATGTGTTTTCTATTTAAATCTTGAAAATGCACCTTTGTGTCCCATTTAACTGAATTTCAGACTTTATTTTGTCCTTTTTTGGCATTTATACTAATGCGAATTTCCATATTCATGAGCAAAATTGTGATGGCATATCAGGCAGAAACCTCAATGTTGCAATTGTTTTGTGCCTAAAAAAGTTGCCAGAGTTTTGGATATTTTGCTGTTGAACATTTTCTTTCTTTAGTGATTCGTCGTTGTGTTAGTACATGGCAGTAAGCAAATGTGCAAACCTTTCTCATATATGTTATCAATGAGCAGATATTTGGGTTAACATTTGTACACAAAACCCCTAAACTGAACTATGGCGTGTGAAACGTTGCCATATTCAATGTTTTACAATATATATATTGTGACGGAGCACGAAGTGTATGTGATAAATTTAATGCAACCACTGTCTGTATAATGACTGTATTACATCGAATCACCCACACTTTGCATATTGGCAGATCCTGATCGCTGATTGGTCAGTTGGACTTCGGCACTATTGTATGGCAGAGTGAATTTGTATTGGGGCTATAGGCTACCGGGTGAACTCAGGGGTATAAAAGCAGCTGCACGACAGGGTTTTTAGCAGATGATTCAGAGATGATTCAAGTGATAACTTAATGATTGGAACAAGTAATTGGGGGTTTAAGTAATACTAGACAAATAAGGATGATGATAAAGATTGATTAAAGGCTTGACCATTGTTTGTGATTCCTGACTCCGATTTCACTCATTTCACTGGCTCGAATTATTGCTAATTAGACTTATAATCATCGAATGTCAGGGCCAAAGTCCCAGGGTAGATAAAGGGGCCTGAGAGGATTACAAATCTCAGGGATTACCCCTCCCTAACTCCCCTTCCGCAATCCCATTCCACAAACCCCTTTCACCTTCCACCGGCGGTGTTCCACCGAGGATTCCATCGGCGATATTCCACTGAGGATAACTTGAGCTGTGGTCCACCACTGCGGGGACTGGACACCATCGAGGCGGCACGCTACCTATCAAACCAGCCTGACGAAGGAGAGCTGGCACGACAACGTCACATTGATGGCAGCGGTGGGATCCACCAAGAAGGACTATAGTGGAAGCACGGGGAGTGATCTACTAGGGAATAACAAGGAGAGCGGGATCTCTCAGGATGGAGCGAAGAGACGAGCCAGGACTCGTCACACCAACGAGTCTTCGTGTGCAAGAAGTCGACTCGGGAGTGGAATTTCGATACCGGGGAAACGATACTTCACCTCAAGTGGCATCTGGGTACAACATGCCAGTTAATAAGAGCGTCGGGAATCAGCCCATAATAGCACCATCTCAGCAACAGGCCTATCCAGTTACAATCATGGCGCACATTGAAGTAGCGTCAAGTGGGTTCACTGGAGTGATGGGAACTGTTCCGGAGGGGTGGAGGGATCAAGCTGCAAGCAGTGTAGAGAAAAGGCAGGAAGCAGCCCAGCATGGTTGGATGGGCAACGCCGGAGAGTCAAGTGCAGCTGCATGGATGCGGAGTCCACTGCAGGCGTCTACTCCAATCAATCCATTTGGGCAGAGGACAAGAGCCACAATATGCCACAGGCAACCAGCAACGATCGGAGGAATCAGGGACTGGAACCCGGAAGGAGCAAGACACAAGGAACTCCCGACGAGTGGATTGGAAGTTGGAGCTGCGTCTGCACCAGGAACTACTGCCGTTGGGGCATATGTGCAACTGGTTTTCAGCACAATGACGGCAGGGTTGAGGACTTCGCCGGGGTTTGCAGCAACGGTAATGCAACCTGCGGGCGGAGCACAACTCTTCACGGCCACTTCTGGCGACCTGTCCTGGGCCGGAGCTAAAGGGCAAGGACAGGTGGGAAGCACGTACAAGCCGATTTCAAGTGAGCGGGCAGGCACGAGGCACCAGGTATCGGCTGCAAAAGATGCGTCGAGCCAGCAACAGCCTCCAGAAAGGTCTTCCCCAACGAAGGTGGAGCAAGGGTTGGCGGGATCGACGATCTAGAGTAGGAAACCTAGGCCCACGGTGGAACAAGAAGGGAAAGCAAGCGCGAAAGAGGAAAACACCCATCACCGAGCACAACGGAAGCCGAGTTTTGTCCCGGATCGATTCTCGGGGGACATCCCTTGGCGGGATTATAAGGCACACTTCGAGTCTTGCGGCACGACCAATGCGTGGACAGCTGATGAGAAGGCGTACTTCTTAGCAGCTAGCTTGAAGGGACAAGCCCAACAGGTGCTGGGAGATGGAAATCAGGGCGAGCAGCTGAGTTACAAAGAACTGACAACAAGGTTGGATCGGCGATTTGGACCTGGAGAACAGGCCGAGAGATTCTTGACGGAATTAAGGAGCAGAACTAGGGGAGTGAATAAAAGCCTTCAAGTACTCGGCCAGAGTATCCGCCGTCTGACGGAACTGGCTTACCCAGAGCTTCCCAGAGATTCCCGAGAAAGACTGGCCAAGGGGCATTTCATGGATGCCATCCAAGATGCTGAAGTGCGGGTGGGAAGAGCTAAGATGACGCAATACGGGCTGCGCTTGAAACAGAGTCCTTCCTTAATTCCGAGAGACAGCGACAGCGGAACCATGGTGGCCGGCAGGAGCGCAACATGAGGGCTACTCGCCAGGTCGAGACGGTGTCCAGGGAGGGATTCAACCGGCAGACCCAGGCCATGTCAGAACAGCTGAATATATTGCAGACGATGGTGACTGGTCTGGCCAAGGCAATGCAGGTTCAGACCTCATCCCCATAGAAAGACGAGAGTGGAACAAGCAATGTAGGAAATAAGAAAGAGGGAAGAGAAAGAAGCATGTTTGAGAATGAAGCATGCTACAACTGTGGGGGCCTGTGACATTTCAGACGGAATTGTCCCTCGAAGAAGCTGAGCCGAGCTTCGGGAAACGCCAGCGGGCCAACCCATGGAATGGGTCATGGGAAGGTCGTCACCACCAGACCCAAATCCAGCCAACGTCACCGTGAAGACGAGTCAAGAGGGAATCCCCCACCAGTAAACAATCGAGTTCATGCCCACAGTGTCTACGTCCAAGGGAACATCGGCAGATATCCCATCAAGTTCATGATAGACACTGGGTCAACAGAAACCATTATTTCCACAGAAGAGTTTGACAAGATGAGGCGAGAAAGCAAACCACAATTGCTACCAATGGCAGAGGTCATCCGTCAGGCTGATGGTACGCCGCTACCGGTGCAAGGCAGCGCATACATGGATGTGCAAATTGGGGGCAATTGTACCAAGGTAGAAGTCATCGTCGGCTCGATAGCCAACCAAGGCATTCTCGGGATGAATTACCTACTCACCACGGGAAGCAAATTGGATCTGGACCGGATGGAACTTCGTATCGGCGAGCACACCATTCCATGCAAGGAAACGTCTTCGTGTTCTTTTTGCTGTCGTGTGCTGGTGGAAGAGACAGTCCACATTCCACCGGTACACGAGTCCATAGTACCGGGGGGTGTTGAAGCAGCAGAAGAAGCTGACTGGCTGGGGTATCATCGAGCCAAGCGACAGAACAAGTGTCGGAGAAAAGGGGCTGGTGATAGCGAGGACACTGGTGAATGCGGGAGCAAGGCGCTACCCGGTGAGAGTGTTCAACCCTGGTACAAGTACAGTCACCATCTACAAAGGGAGTACTACGGGAACTTTGACGTCACTTGATGATGCGGATATTGGCATGGATGAAGTCTGCGGATCTGTGGCTGTATTGGAGCGACAAGAGGATAAAGACATCCGGTTACCAGAGCATCTAGCTAAGCTATACGAGCAGAGTATTAAAAATGTGCCCGAGGGTCACCATTGGAGGGTTAAGAAACTCCGGTGGGATTTTCAAGATATATTCTCCAAGGGAGACGATGATCTGGGTAAAACAGAATTAGTGAAGCACAAGATTGAAGTAGGTGCTGCAAAACCGATCCGGCAACGACCAAGAAGACTCCCAATTTGGCAGAGAGCTGAGGCCGACGAGCAGGTGCAACAACTGTTGGAGAGGGGCACAATAGAGCCGTCAAATAGCCCTTGGGCATCTCCAGTAGTTCTGGTGCGGAAGAAGGATGGGTCGACCAGATTCTGCGTTGACTATAGAGCCTTAAACGACTGTACACTGAAGGATGCCTACCCTATTCCAAGGGTGGATGACAACTTGGATTCCCTGGCGGGGGCGGAATGGTTTTCAACGCTTGACCTTGCTAGCGGATACTGGCAGGTGATGCTCGACGAAGACGCTAAGGCTAAGTCAGCGTTTGTGTGGTGGAGCTGTGGTCCACCACTGCGGGGACTGGACACCATCGAGGCGGCACGCTACCTATCAAACCAGCCTGACGAAGGAGAGCTGGCACGACAACGTCACAATATGTTGGATGTTCAATATGTGTGTGTTATCTTTTACATTTATATGCGATGTTCAATATAAGTGTGCGATGGTTTACAATATATGTGCGATGTTCAATATATGTGTGCGATGTTTTACATTTATGTGCGATTTTCAAAATATTGCTATGTTTGACGATTTATATGCGATGTTTTCAATATTATGTTCGATGTTTTACATTAAATGTGCGATGTTTTCCGATACAATTGTGTGATGTTTTCCGATACAAACATATTATTTGCGAAATTCTCAAATATTTGAGCGATGTTTTACAAATATATGTTTGATATCTCTTGCAATATGCATTTGATGTTTCACTTTACATTTGATGTTTCGTTAAGAGTAACAGTCTGGTTACTAAACAGCGAAAGTCTGACTTGTTTGCCTAAAGTCAATGTATGAAACGTCAGGGGATCGCGTAAGTGATCAGAGCCAGAATTAAACGGTAAAAAACGGAATTGTGGGTAAGCATGCGCAATGCATTCATCATTGTTTGGGCAGTATCCCCAGCTGTGCTTGTACTTCGCTCGTACCCCCCGCCCTGCAAACAGGACGCTGGGATACTCTGATGAGCTTCACAGAATCTCGTGAAGGAAGTTGCCTATGACCTGTGTATAAAGCATTCTGACTGCAGTTGTTCAAGACCGCAGTTAGATAATGTGCGCAAATGCTATCCGAAAACTTCCCATAGAAATGTAAACATTCCATACCGGATGTGATTTCTGTTTCATTGCGGACCATGTGGACAAAATTTTGAGCATCGCATAATGCATTCCGACCGTTCGTGATTCGAAACGGAGCCTGAGCAAGTGATGGGAATTGTAAATTTACAACACAGATAAGTTTTACAGAATTTCCTACATTATTACGCTTTTCAACGAGAAAAAAACATCTCTAAACTGGAATAAAAGAGTAATGAATCAGTCTTAACGGCCGTTTCAAACCTTGCAGAATCATGACCTTGATGACGCGCAGGTCACTGGTCACGCAAAATCCAACCAATCAGAGCGTGAATTCATCAGAGTATCCCAGCGTCCTGTTTGCAGGGCGGGGGTACGAGCGAATGCTTGTACTACCATGTGCATCATTCATGCCACTTCGTCTTCATGAGGAGTGCATGACACGTGGGAAGCTCCAAGGCACTAGTGTTCACCTGTCCCGTTTAATGATCCAGTTACATGATAAGTTGTTTACACAAGCTCATTGGCGACAAATAGAGTTACGTAATTCATTGGCTTATGTGGCACACGATGGAAGTTGCGTGACATTTTTGCCGAAGATATTTCCTTTTTAAAACTTGACTATAATATTCAGTGCAAGAAATGAAGTAAACCAATTTAGACTTATTCTCAAGTTGCACCCTTTGTTAAAGTACAAATTGTCGAATCCGATCGAAAAATTTCACCATGATGATTGCTTCGTCCTAGAGCAAGGGGCTCTGATGTGCTTATCGGCAAAATGGGTGCGTTTTGAGCGAGCACTGTGTTCGCGTACAAACCCAGGTCCGTTTGCTATTTTTGCAATATTTTCCCGTCAAAACCAATAACTGAACCCGATATCGGCCGCGGCTGCCTCATCAGACCTCGGCGGTGTGCAGGGCGCAACGAACGGCACGTGCATTCCCACCAGCGGACCGCGCCTGCCGGACCGGACACTCTCCGGGCCCTCGGCCTCAGAACGTGGCCCTTCCCGACCCGATTGCACTGTGGATTTGAAGGAATTGAAAAAAGTCTCCGTTTTTAAATTAAATTAAATGGGCTGGGCTTGCCAGTGTGTCGATTTTCTCTGGGCAGATTCTATTTTATTAATTTCATTGAAGGCGCTTATACATTCTTTATTAAAGTTCCCCCTTTCGTAAGATGATTTTAACAACAAATTAAAATTTCTGTCATTAACAACGGACCAAATTCAATTCAAAGCAAGAAATCTATCCGCGATGAAAAATGGGTGTTCAAGTGCCTGGATGTATGCTCGATGTAAAATGGGTTGGGCTGAGACTGTTTTGATACCGAATTATTCGCAATTCGGGGCGCGTAATAACTGAAGTTTAGAGGTCCTTTTTCTCTATGCTTAACCCATCTATCAATTTAGTGAAGTTTTGCAGATGTTGGCCCATTGTGTTTTTTTTCTTTGTCGGCCGTATAAAGATCTCAACCCCTCTCAGCGCAACCGTAATCCTCCTGGCTCGAATTTACGACACTTTGACACTTTGACTTCGACATTTTGCCCTTTTGTAATAAAAATGACCGAGAGTGTGACTTGAGAAGAAGTCTAAATATGTATACTTCACTCCTTGCACGAAATATTCGTCCGTAAAGTTTTAAAAAGAAAACATCTTTTGCCAAAAATATCCTCAGTCTCCATAGAGCAAGGAAGACAATGCGTGTGCCACTTATTACAGCCAACGAATTTTGTAACTCTGCTTATCTTGTTTATACAACACTCGGTGGGCTGTTCATTGGAAAATTACGATGAAACTGCACCCGGTACTGCGCCGATTGGCTTTTATAGCGCCATGCTAGCACTAATGTGTAAATAAAGGCTGGTTTTGGAATCGTCATGGCACGTGGGCATATGGATGATGTACATGTACATGTACATGACCATGTACATACAATTTACAAATTACAAACACGTGCAGCTGGCGGTACTGCCCAAACAATGACGACTGCTTTCCGCATGCTCCGAGATAACCCACAATTCCGGTTTTTACCGTTTAGGTCTGGCTCTAATCACTTACGCGATCCCTGGACGTCTCATACACTGACTTTAGGCAAAATAGTCAGAATTTTGTGGTAACCAGACTGCGACTCTTAACGAAACATCAAATGTAAAGTAAAACAACAAATGCATATTGCAAAAGATGGAATACATATACGATAAAATCTTAAATACAGAAATAATTAAACATCAAATATTATGCTCAAAATATCAAACATATATTTGTAAAACATCTCTCACATATTTGAGAATATCGCAAATATATTGTAAAACATCACACATAATTATTTCGAAAACCTTGCCATTTAATGTAAAACATCGCATACATAATTGAAAATATCGCACATATATTGTAAAACATCGCACTTATATTGAAAATCGCACATCAATGTAAAACATCGCACATATATATTGAAAATCACACACAATATTGTAAAACATCGCACATTTACATTGAACATCGCACACTTTATACTGAACATCACATATAAATGTAAAAGATAACACACGTTGAACATCGAACATATATGTAACCCCGACCTCAATTAGGTCTGAGGTTACTGAACATATATTTGACTATATGTACATTTACTATTTCAGTTTTCATTGTGTTCCATTTAATAGCCTAGTTAATTTTTCCTGCTCCTTTCTTTCAATTTCCTTTTCTTTTCTTTTATAATTATTCGTATAAACTTTCTCCATTTTTTATTGTTAGTATATACTCAATTTATACCGATAGTTTATTTTCCTGTTGTTGGATGTGTTCTGAGGGGCAATTGACTGCCTCAGCAGAAAATCCCCTCGAACACCATTTGTGACCTTGCCATGAGCTTGCTGGCCTGGTTTTCTCTGGGGAGTGCCACGCTGGACCAACAAATTCGGATGGTCAGAGTGACTGCATGTACATGCATATTGGCCATTTCTCTCCTTGCCACATCACCATTTAACAAGCCAGTGCCGAGCAGGTTAGACTGTGCCTCTCCATCTCCTCTCATGATTTTGTTGGAAGCCGAGATATATATTTAAATCTCGCAATTGGAGAAGTTTGCATTGTTTCATCGCAATTGGAGAATTTTTGCTTTGTTTCATCGCAATTGGAGAATTTTGCTTTGTTTCATCAATACGAATGTTGGCTCTCTGTTATAGGTGAGTTCACATTTTGTTTTCTTTTAATTTTTATAAGGGCTGTGAAGTTTTATTGATTTGTCTTTAATTTGAAAGTTCGGTATAATTTGGATTGATCAGAAATAAGCAGACTTTCATGAAACCACTGATCCAATGAATTAATATGTTATGATTTTCTGGGAATTTCTGAGTGAGACAATACACGAGGGGAGACGAGCAGTACACGATAATTATATTTTGAGTTTTCTTTTAAGTCTAAAGTTGTTTTATTAAGATGAACTGCCAAAGATCCTGTGTGATTGAGGTCATACATGATTTAATGATATCTTCCAGGAATTTGAGGAAGACATGATAAGTTTAAGTTAGTTGTTCCGATATTTACGACTGCTTGACTTTTTCAACCATGATATAAAACATTGGATATGTTTCACTTCGAACTTTGGTGTGTATGATAATTGACAATTAGTTCTTTATAATTATATTATTGTAGAAGTAGGGTGCGTTTTTTGCTTGTTGATTATTCTGTTTGCATCAGTATAAGTATGAGATGATCCCATGAATAAGAAAGTTATCGTCCTTGGGTAATAAGTGAGAATCATGAAAATTCTTCATAAGGATTCATTTCTTTACTGAAAAGTTTATGATCAACTTTGATGTTTCAATTAATTACATGTATGTCCATTGTGTTGGATATGATTAACACTTGCAAGTATTAGCTTTGGGTTGCGATAAAGATTGAGAGTACATTTACTGTAATTTTATTAAAGATTTTGTTCCATGCTTTATTGGAGAAACAAGAACAACTTTCCTCCACCTGTAGAGTTTTGGGCAGCTTGTACGTCTCAAGCCCAAATCAATTGAAAATGGCCTTGTGCAGTGGGCCAGTGGCTGAGCCTGGTTTTATTAGTCTGCAAGGGCAGATTGTTTCTGCTTATTGACAACTGATTTATTGTAAGAAAAGAGTTTCCTGTCACCCCAGTTTATGGTAGTACTGAGGATGTTTTAACTCCATAATTTGATTATAAGGTCCGCCAGTATGTTGGTGAATATCAATTTTGATTATGGCGTGGACCACTCTCTGTTATAGGACCAGAATTTGGCAAAGTGCTAGACTGTCCTTCATCAGCCGTCTGCTAGACTGGCCTAGTCCACTCAGTGCTGTAGGAACACCGCTGTGTCCCATGGTCCTACTGTGCTACCAGTAAACAAGAGGAGTACAGCCTGGATGATCAGCCAATGGAGCTGAGGACCGTGAGGGTTTTCTACCATCACCATCGTCTTCCCAAGCCTTGGAGCTTCTGTGAAGAACTTTGATATTAGATTTTGGCGCCTTTTATTTTTTTTCCTGAGCTCAGTTTGTTTTAATCTTTTACTCACATTACTTAATTTTGCCTTTGATTCTTGCTGGAGTTTATCTTATTGTTTTGTGTGCATATTTGAAGTTTTACCATTTATAATCTTGTGGTATTTTCTTTGCCTTCTATTAAAATAAACTAAGTTTTGTGCATGCAAAATCTTTAAATGTAAATCAGTGTATTCTTTCAGAGGGAGTCGATACTTGAAATTGGTTCCTGCTTGATGAAGGTGAACCACGGGTTACATTTTGGGGGCTTGTCCGGGAAACTTTAATTAACGACACTGATTCTGATGAGTCAATTTTGTACTGACTGGTAGGGAATTTGTATGCATGAAACTTTGTTTATTATTGATTTGGCATTTTATTTGTCGTATTTGTGTATGATGTGTCTCTCCCCATGTATTGGCTATTTGCTTTGACATAACTGATTTTCCAGGAATTGACACAAACCTGCAACAGAGAGCCAACATTCATACTAGTCCGACCCTTTAATTGCGATATTGTATATTTCTGGCAAACTGACGTGTCGTCAACATGGAGGAATCACTTAAGAAAATTGCTTTGGACTGGTGCAAAAAGGAAGAGACTAGGCCGAGTCACTCTATACTTTTGTCCATGAAGTTGGTTGCAACCCCTACCCAAACCATTGCGCTTGCACTGACAGATTGTCTCCCCAATATTGTAGGCATTTCTAGACGAGAGGACGTGGGGCAAGATCTGACCCTTGTTCTCTGTGATTTTGACAAACCTGTCTCTTTTCTTAAGTTTGGGTCGGAAATCACCTTGAACTTCCAACCACTCCCGACTTCTTGTCGCGTCATCCGTTTGGATGATTCTCCCTCTCACTTTCCTTCCAAGAGTAGCAGAGTCCGTATCAGTGACCTCACGAAGAACGGAGCCCTTGACGAATGGCGGAACAGGCCCAGACCTAATTCTACTGAGTCAGTTCCGGCGATACCTTCCACATCTGCTGGGACTTCCGTTTCCCAACCCCTTCCCTCTGACTTTTCCAATTCCTTTTCTCGCTGCACTCTTGCAGCCAATTACCGGAAACTGAGATGTTTTTCGGGACTTGCCGTACCATCAAAGGACGAAGATGGCTACACAGCATGGATAGACCACGTCGAGGGCCAAATGGATGAATGGCAAGACCTTGACGATGCGGAGAGAAGGAAGAGGGTACGAGAGGCATTAAGGGCACCAGCCCTTAGCATCATCAATGATCTCCGTAGGGAGAATCCTCTTGCGACCTCCCGCGACTACCTAAAAGCCCTCGACATGGCTTTTGGGGATACTGAGACAAATGATGAGCTCTTTGTCAAATTCCACAGTATGACTCAGAGGAGAGAGGAGAAGCCCTCCCAGTTCCTAACAAGGCTACAGGGAACCCTACGGAAAGCCCTCAGGAGGGGTATAATCCCTCAGGACCAGTCCAATAGGGTCCGTCTCACGCAGTTCATAAGGGGAATCACCTTCGACGAAATGTTACTGGTGAACCTTCATTTAAGGGACAAAGTCGACCTGCCTCCCACTTTTCTCACCCTTTTGTCCCTGGTGAGGAAACAGGAAGACGAAGCAAAGACCAAGCTGGCACATCGGAGTCAGCCGGCTGAACATCAAGGAGTACATCATCTGCAACATCTTTCACCACATGTGCCATCATTCTTTCCCTCTGCCCCTCATTTCTTTCAGCACTCAGCTCCCTTAGTGCCTGCTCCCCGTCACTCAATGGCGCATCCTAGACCACAGGGTGAACGGCGTGGGTCTGGCCAGAGGAGTTATAACGCGGGTGCTGAAGACAGGGGCACTCTTGTAAATTTCTGCTTTGGATGTGGTGAACAGGGACACATCCGTCGGAGGTGTCCAAACCCACCCAACACTGAAGTCGTCAATCAGAAGTTGATTAAGTTTATCCTTGGAGAGCGTCAGTCGGGAAACGGTTCGGGACGGCTGCCATCGGGGAACCAGGCGTCCAACAACCAGTAAGCCCCAACCCAAGTTATGAGCTAGGAACCGACATCCCTCATGGACTAGTCGGCAATGTTATAACGACGCGGTGTTGGGTGGATGGCACTGAGACTCATTGTCTGCTAGACAGTGGGTCTCAGGTCACTTTGATTTGCCAGAGTTTGTTCGCTTGCTTAAACCGTGAGCTCCACCCTCTGAAGGACCTTGTGGTCTTTCATGGGGGTGGTGGCCAAATCCCATATCTGGGGTGGAGCTATGTGTCCATGGGTTTGGACAACTCATTTGCGGGGACCGCCAATCAGTTTGAAACATTTGTCCTTGTCGTTTCAGACAGTCCCCAGTCAACTGCCCAGCCGGTGGTAGTGGGGACAAACTCTGGCTTATTTCGGAGTTGTTTCGACTCATGTCGGCAACAAGCTGGCAAGGGTTTTGCAAACCATCTCAATATCAGTGCTACCTGCCAGCAGATTTACAAGAACATTGCTGAGGAAAGGAAAATCTCCAAGGATGGCAAACTGGGTGTTGTGAGGACCAGGGCCAAGCGCACTGTCTGTCTCAGACCAGGTGAGCAAAGAAGCGTATCTGGGACCTTCAGGTGCACATTACGGAAGCCCACGCCTGCTCTCGTGGAAGCCCGTATGAGGCATCCGGTTCCATCAGGGTTGGAGGTGATGCCTTTCATCACCCAACTCTCTGGTAATTCCACCTGTACAGTCAAGCTGATGGTTACCAACCAGTCCAATCAGCCCATCACCATCCCAGGAAACTGCCCCTTGGCTGACGTTTTCCTACCTGAATGGTTTGTTGAGGCCCCGACTGAAGGCGTGAAGTCCACGGCTTTCTCTTCGTCGGCATCTGTCGGAAAAGGCCCGACACCCTTTGTTGGCGATGATTTAGAGGGCCTCCCATTCAAATGGGGCCCTATCTCGCCAGAATGGAGACAAAGGATCCTAGACAAAGCAAAGTTGCGTTCTCAGGTGTTTTCCCGGCATGATTGGGATTTGGGTGTAACCAAAGAGGCTGAGCACCAAATTAAGGTTAATGATAGCACCCCTTTTCGGGAAAGATCTAGGAGGGTAGCTCCATCCGATTTCCAAGATTTGCGTAAACACCTCCAGCAGCTCCTCGACCATAACATTATCCAAGAATCACGCAGTCCCTACGCATCACCCATTGTATTGGTGAGGAAAAAGAATGGCTCTTTGAGGATGTGCGTGGACTATAGGACCCTGAACTCCCGAACGATTCCTGACCAGTATGCAGTTCCTCTTGTTCAGGAAGCTATCGACTGTCTCAATGGCAGCTGTTGGTTTTCTGTCATTGACTTGAAGTCTGGGTTTTACCAGATTCCGATGTGCAAAGAAGACAAAGAGAAGACAGCATTTATTTGTCCTTTTGGCTTCTACCAATTTGAACGCATGCCTCAGGGGGTGAAGGGTGCGCCAGCAACCTTCCAGAGGTTAATGGAAAAGTGCATGTCCGGACTGAACATGGTCGAGACTCTTGTATATATGGACGACCTAATCATCTTTGCCAGCGACTTAGAACAAATGGAGCAGCGTCTCATGAAGGTCCTTGACAGGCTGGCAGAATTCGGGTTGAAAGTATCCCCTGAAAAGTTCCAGCTCTGTTGTCGATCTGTTAAATACCTTGGGCATGTGGTTTCTGAAGAAGGTGTTCAAACAGACCCTGAAAAGATGTCTGCCCTGGAAGAATGGCCTCGGCCTGCCAATGTAAAACAATTAAGATCTTTTCTTGGCTTTGCCGGCTACTATAGGCGGTTCATTGAAAACTACTCAAAGATTTCCCGTCCCCTAAATGACCTGACGGCGGGTGTAGTCTATCCCAAGAAGCGAGGCCGTCCTTCACTCAGGCGCAATTCCGATTCTGTCACTCGTAAGGCTGATGAGCCATTTGGTGATCTGTGGACTGCAGAATGTGACCAGGCTTTCCTCACTCTAAAGGAAAGGCTTGTAACAGCACCAGTACTTGCTTTTGCAGACCTCTCAAAACCATTCGTGCTCCACATTGATGCAAGTCGAGACGGCTTAGGTGGAGTATTGTACCAGGATCAAGGCGGTAAACTCCGTCCAGTTGCATATGGCAGTCGGGGATTGTCCCCAAGTGAGAAGAACTACCCCGCACACAAGTTGGAGTTCTTAGCTCTAAAATGGGCGATTACCGATAAGTTCAAAGACTACCTGTACACGGCGAAAGGGACTAAGGTTATGACGGATAACAATCCACTCACCTATGTCTTGACCTCAGCTAAGCTGGATGCAACAGGCCACCAATGGCTTGCAGCACTCTCCTCGTTTGACTTCTCCGTCCATTACAAACCAGGAAGGACCAATGTGGATGCAGATGCGCTATCGCGTAGGCCACATGGTTTAGAATTCAGCCAGAAATTTGAACACGAGCAGCAAAATAGACTGGAAATGTTGGAAGCCCGCCTGAAAGGAATTGCAGATGTCAAGGATGAGATTTGTCCCAAAGAGGCCATCTGTGCCCTCTATTCCCCAACACATGTTCAAGTTGCAGTGCATGGTGTGGCCATATCAGCGAATCCGCTTCACTCCCCAACTCCAGATTCTATCCCTCTTGTCCACTCTTTCCCTGCTCATGCAAATGCCGTGCCTGACTCATATGATCCTGAGCCCAGTTCCCAAATGGTTGATTGGGCCAAGGTGCAGCGAGATGATCTATCTATCAAACAGGTTATACTGTGTGTTGAAGGTGGAAACAAACCGGATTCGCTGGCCGAATTCCAACCTGAGGCAAAGATTATCCTGCGAGAATTTGAGAAACTGAGAGTTTCCAACCGTGTCCTGTACAGGTGTGTCATGAACAACCTGGGCAAGAAAGTGTACCAACTTGTGCTCCCTACACAATATCGCATCCAGGCGATCAGGGGCCTCCATAATGAGCTGGGGCACTTAGGAGTTGAACGCACAGTGGCACTCGCTCGGGACAGGTTTTACTGGCCCCGCATGGCCACAGAAATCGACGAGTGGGTGAGGCACTGCGGCCGTTGCATAGCCCGAAAGACAAACTCCAAGCCCGCTGCTCCTCTAGTGAATATCAGGACAAGTGGTCCACTGGAGCTGGTGTGCATGGATTTTCTATCCCTTGAGCCAGATAGCACAAACAAGAAGTCCATACTTGTGGTGACGGACCATTACACCAGGTACGCGCAGGCTTTTCCCACCAAAGACCAAACGGCCCGTACCGTCGCCAAGGTCCTTTGGGAAAATTTCTTTGTGCACTATGGTCTGCCCAAGCGCCTACATTCTGACCAGGGACGTGACTTTGAGAGTAAGGTCGTTAAGGAATTGACTAACTTACTTGGAATAAAAAAGTCACGCACTACCCCCTACCACCCTCAGGGAGATCCCCAGCCAGAACGGTTCAACAGAACACTCTTGAGCATGCTGGGGACTCTCGAGAGTGAGAAGAAGGCAACGTGGAGCCGCTACGTCAGTGCCCTTGTACATGCCTATAATTGTACAAAACATGACAGTACAGGTTTTTCCCCGTACTTCCTTATGTTTGGCCGGGAGGCAAGGCTTCCAATTGACCTGCGGTTTGGGGTAAGCCCTGATGGTCACTCTAATGCTGACCACTCCAACTATGTCAGAGGATTAAAAGAGCAATTGTCTCGAGCATATCAGCTTGCTTCAGACAAATCTGCCAAGTCAGCCAGTGCAAACAAAGTTCGTCATGACAGGCGCGTGACAGGCTATGAACTCCGGCCAGGTGACCGGGTCTTGGTAAAGAACCTTGGATTGCAAGGCAAGCAGAAACTTGCAGATCACTGGAATCCGGCTGTTCATGTAGTCTCTGAGCGTATCAACCCTGACATGCCTGTATATAGAGTTAGGCCGGAGGCTGGCGGACGAGTCCGTACCCTGCATAGAAACATCTTACTTCCCATTGACTATCTCAATGAGGAACCTTCTCAACAGTGTGCTGGTAAAGCAAAGCCCAAAGGCCCAGTGACTAGAATGAAAGCCAAGACAATGGTTGCTAATGAGCAGGAGGACCCAACAGAGTCAGAGAGGGATGATACCAGTGGCGATGATGAGGAATTCATTGTGGTCTTCCCATCGACTTCCGCATTGCCCATACCGGATACCCGATCTGAAGAAAGGGGAGGTACCAATCCCACCATGGGGTCCGATCCCGCAGTAGGCATACTTGGATTCACCCCTGAAAAGCCTCAGGAGAACTTTGCAAGTCCTGAGGAGACTCAGGAGAACATTGCAAATCCTGAACAGCCTCAGGAAAACATTGAGATTCCTGAGGTATCTCAGGATAACATTGAGAATCCTGAGGAGCCTCAGGAAAGCATTGACAATCATCAGGAGCCTCAGGAAAACATTGAGGAAATTGACGAACCTCAGCCAGACACTGAAACTAAAGAGTTACCTACACATACTGAGGCTACGCCAGATGTTCCTATTGTGTGCTCGCTGCCAAACCCTCAACACCTTGATGTGTCTGAGGGGGAAAACCAATCACAAGGTGTACCGTCTGTATCCACACCTTCTGGTAGTTCTTTTGAGAATGAAGATGACCATTTGAAAGGGGAGGTTTTCCCAAGTACCACTAGTGAACTGTGTGGTGATGAACCTCCAGATCCTTCTGTGGAAGATACATGTACTGCCAGGCGATCGTTGAGACAGTCAAGGCCACCGGAGAGAATGAAGTTTGATGTTTTAGGGAAGCCGGCATTCAGCCGACAATTTCGGACTTTTTACACCGGTGGACCTCTTTGTGGGAACAAACTGCTTTCATTTCCTGACTTCGATCTACCTTTTCCTATGCTGCTTCCGGAGGCAGCAGATTAAGAAAGGGGAGGATGTAACCCCGACCTCAATTAGGTCTGAGGTTACTGAACATATATTTGACTATATGTACATTTACTATTTCAGTTTTCATTGTGTTCCATTTAATAGCCTAGTTAATTTTTCCTGCTCCTTTCTTTCAATTTCCTTTTCTTTTCTTTTATAATTATTCGTATAAACTTTCTCC